CATTATGTGAGTCCTGACTGGTGTTTCTTCTTAAAGAGCCAGAGCTGATATCCATCTTGTTTACTGCTGCTGTATGTGGTGGCTCCAGTTAGACTGCGATATATACAATTTGAATGACTTCGTCTGGCAATTCCTGAAAAACTGGGATCATGCAAGGTTTTAATCCAAGTGTGATATCATATTAGATAGAAATGGAAGAATCTGTCAACAGGGATTTCTTTGAAATAACTGCCTGTATGAGCTCAGTGGGTGGGGGAATGTCTTACTCTATTTCCTGTGATTGTGGTTGGGGCACTTCCTGTGTTTAAACAAATACAGGAAATGTTGTCTGAATGTCCTTGGCATCCAAAACAGTACATTGGGACTACTTAAACACACACACACAGGTGATACACAAGTTTACCCAAATTGACTTTGTTTTAGACTTGACTGGTTTAGTGCAGTTTGCATGGCAATCAATTTGCCTGAGGGGCAAAGCTCATTTTGATTATAGGAACAAAAAATACAAACAGTAGTATAGCGGTAGCCTTCTTTTCATGACATATTTGCATGTAATTATCAATGTCATACTTAGTCCACACACAGCTCTTGTTTCCTCAGAGCCAGTCATTCCCATAATTCCCAATCTCAGTTTAGTATACTCTACCAAGGGTCCAAAATAGGGAATTCCTTACCTTTATATTTTTTTAACTTGTCTTAACAGCATTTTAAATCTGAAGTAACTTCTTTTAACCAACCAATATTTCCTATAAGGACCACTTTTCTCTAAGTTCAATATTTCCTTTTGTCATACAATTCTAATAAAGGCCTATTATGATTATTGCTTGTTTTTTCTTTGTTCCCATTATTCGTATTCATTGTGCCCCCACATTGATAATAGCCATGGCCAGAGGCATTATGTTTTCTGATTAACTGTCCATCCATCCATCTGTCGTCTGTCTGTCCATCCGTTTATACTGTTGTGTACTTGTGAACACAATATCTCAAGAACGCCTCAAGGACTTTTCCTCAAATTTGGCAAAAACATCCACTTGGACTCATCGATAAAGTCACTGGATTATGTTGGTTATAGGTCAAGGTTACTGTGACCTCGTCTGGCTCATTCTTGTTAATGTGATATCTCAAGAACACATTGAGGGATTTTTTTTTTTCAAATTTGGCACAAACATCCACAAACATCAAAACATGTCTTTAGCCATTACTAAAGAATTCATACGCTAAGTATGACAAAAGTTCACATAAATGTCTAATAGGATATAATGATGACATGATAGTTGATATCCAAAAGGTGGAAGGTCAAGTTCACTGTGACATCATAATGGTTTGCAAAAACACTTTTCTGGTGGGGAGATGTTTGGTCAGATACTGAATTGGTGACACTAATTTTTTGGTGCTCACCTTGAAACTGTGCTGATTGTATAGATTTTCTGTTCTGTCGGGGGAAGATGTGTGTGAAGTATCCATGTTTTCACAGACATGGATGTAAACTGAAGTGAAACTTCAAAGTGGTAATTCTAATTTTCTCCTTTATCTTTTCACCTGTGAAAACTCTTAACCATATCAAATGAGTGTATGTTTGTATTCTGTTAATGATTGTGTTTGTGAATACCTGCATGTATCATGAAGAAGTATTCTTGTTGTGTGTGTCTGTGTGCATGTGTGCGAGTGTGTGTCGGTGTTTTATGACTTCCTCTGTCATTAATGTGTAACAGATAGGTGTTTAAGGAATGCATTGTTGTCAAGTACAATGCAAAACTATGTTTTCATTTTATTTATTGCCATGTCTGACATTATTGACAGATACTTACAAATAGTTTTTACATAGCTGTAATTATTTCCTATAATATACTGTCTGAAGGATGCCACTTTTCAAGCCCCTGGAGGGCTTTTAGGCATTCCTCTGCAGATTAATTTTTTAGATATGTGCAAGTAAAAAGAAAGAAAACAAATGTTGATGTTGCTATTGTACCATCTCAAATTGCACCAATCAGAAACAAGACACAAAATAAAGCCTATTATGCACATGGTCTGTGGTGATCCCCTTCTGCCTGTACACATTTTTGAGATATGAACATGTTTTTTTTCATCTGCAGTATTTTCCTCATACTGTCATAACCTTTAATGTCTATGAATATATGAATATAACTATCTGTCTAGTTTTAGATGACTGTCCTGTTGTCTAACATTTGATATCTTTGTCAGATATAAGCTTTGTCGTTTCTGGCCAGCGTTTCTGTTTTTTCATTCCAATTTGTCAAATATCCATGCTTTGTCCGTGGACTTTCATGTCACACTAGGTACCCTCCCTCCTGTTATTGATACTATGGGACGCTTTGTCAATTTACCCTTGTTACATGCATTATGTCAAAATACACTTCCCTTTTCACAGAAAATGTACAGTTTCTGCCTGTTAGATGCATACAGTTTATTTCGAAAGAAACGTAAAATGTCTATAAAACACCTCATATTTATGTTTATCTGGTGCAACAAAAGCATGTGGTATATGACAACTTTAGTCAGTGGCCGCTGTGTTAACAACTGGTTCCCGGTGCATATTATACTGCCGTGAAACGTGCCTTTGTGCGTCAGTATCTAACGCCCAAGTAACTGACAAAGCTGCAATATTTGATGAGTTCGGAATGAGAATGGGCCGAGCCAGCAGGGCAGCTTGTGTCACGGGTGGTCAAGTTGGGGGCAGTTTTAACGCTGTGTTACATTTGACCATCAAAATGGTGTCTGTTCATGCTCTGTAGTGATCCCTCTCTGCCTGCCAAAAGACAACCTGATGTGTCATACCTGTCAAAGTTATGTTTTTATATCGCTATCATTATAGGATTAAATTATACAGTTTTACATTAAGCCCCACCCCTTGGCCCTACCCCTACATTTGCATGTTCCTGCGAGGGGTAGGGATATTGGGATTGGGCCTAAGTGTGTGGTTTAGGGTTGGGACTCGTTAGGATTTTAACAATTCCGATTCCTTACCGATTCCTTCTTAACCGTCCGATTCCTTACCGATTCCTCTTACCGATTCCTACATTATATTCATTATACTTGCTATACTTAAACAAGTATATAGTAAACACAAATGCAATCATACAAATACAAAAACTTTATTCTAGCTGTTGCACAGTACAATTAGATGAAAATACACATTTGTGTGTGGTGTGTATTTCAGATTTAGAGCTTGTATGATCTCCCTGAGAATACATAACAACAAAAAGTGATTCTCTGATTTCTACAGTAACACTATTACCTCAAATTAACCACAGCAATGTAATAAAAAATACTTATATGCATTAATGCTTGGCCACTGTTATTTACGTGACAACACCTGAACAGAACACACACACACATTGGCTGTTTGTTTCTACCGCTCCCATCTCTGGAAGTCTTGGAGATCCCGCCACCAGGCTCCGCCTTGATTAAACGCTGAAATGAAAGAGGGAGACAGGTGTCTCCTATTTTATCTTATTTTGTTATATTTCTCCCTCTCCTCTCGCTGGAAGCGGACCTCCCGCCGCCCGCTCCCGTCTCAAACATGGAGGTCTCCCTGAGCACCCACGGCGCACACCCGGCCTGTTAAATAGCCTGTAACCATAACAACTGTGTGACACAAACTCAGTGCTTTGGTAATTAAATAATGTCGGGCTCGGTTGGGTTCGGACAGAAGAATGCAGCCCATGCTGCACTCTAATGGAAATGCATGTGACGTTGTTTTTTTTTTTTTTTTTTTACAATCTAGGAACCATTTGCAGGAACCGTTACTCCAAATGTGATGGAACAGGTTCCGGAACCGGAACTTTGGACCCGGTTCCAAAAAAGAACCGGATCCGGATCCCAACCCTAGTGTGGTTACATCCCCCCTGCCTGTGTGGGGCAGATGTGACATTTGACTTCTAGTGTTTTAATCAACGTTGTGACTCTAACATTTCTTGTAAAAACATTTGATGGCTGTTTACAAGTAGAACACAGATGCAAGTTAGCTACACAGAAATGCAATCCAATTAGTTTAAGAGTTTTTTTGAGTAATGACATCAAAACCAAAAACTGTTACAATGAACCCCAGTCTCCCCTACTACAAATAAACTGTAGGTGGGCTGTAGTCTCCATGGCAGCAGGCTGGCAAAGGTCGCAGGTTTATTCTATCCAGCAGCTATTGTGCATCTATCCACAGCATCCATTTATAATGTCAAGTTGTGTATGAGACTCTGACCCCTGTATGCTCATGTATTGTAAGGCACCACAATCAAGGGAGTCAGCTTAAATACCTTTAGCCCACTGAGGCCGGAGACATCTGGAGAAGCAGTCAAAACACTGCAGAGCCTGCCATTGTTTTTTTTATTTCAGAACGGAACTGGTCAGCGGGGGAGAAAAAAAAGAACCCATAACTGCTGTTAAACATGGTTTCCGTCTTTAGTTTGTGTCCCAAACAGGATGCATGAGCATGAGTGTTAGTCTCAGCCCTGCACCACTTGTTTTTGGCTATGCATGGAGAACCACATATTGCTCACATTTCACCCAAAATCTCCCAGGGACCTTCTGGATATCAACTAATTTGTTGATCTCTATGGCAATTATGTGGTTGATTTTTCTGCTACAGCTTATCAACAGCTTTGAGGGTTTATCTGGAGCTGAACATGAGACGCTGTGCACCTCTAACGCCTGCTTCACCCTGCATATGAACAGGGTGACCTTTGAGGAGGCCCATCAGAACTGCGACCACAATGGAGGTTATCTGATGACAGTCAGAGACACAGAAGAGGAGGATGTGCTTCGTTTGCTTCTTTCACAGATCCAAGGACAACGTCTGGACAGAGTGTTTAAATTTTGGATTGGATTAAAACTGCACAGAGGGGACTGTGTGCTGCCTGGCAACACTCTCTTTGGGTTTAAGTGGGTATCTGGGGAGGAAGATTCCAGCTACTCCAACTGGGAAAAAGAACCTGTCACCACATGCACAGGAGAGAGATGTGTAAAGGTTGTCTACACTTTATCAGGTGAGAGTCAACTGAAATGGACTGCTGGAGCTTGCAGAAGCCCTGCCTTTTATGCATGTAAGTTTTATTTTAAGGGAATGTGCAAACCTTTGGCTCTACTGGGGCCTGGAGAAATCACCTACACTACGCACTTCTCAGAAGACCCACTAAGAAGTGAAATGCAAGCATTTCCACACGGAACAAATGCTGTTATTTTATGTAGTGATGAACAGCCTCAGTACTCTGTGTGCAATGGGGTGGATGACATTTATCGGTGGACTGTCCCTGGTCCGTTTTGCAAAGCAGGAAAGCAAAATTGTGCAATAAACAATGGCGGATGTAAACATTTGTGCCACCAGGATGCAGACGAGGTTCGATGCTCTTGCAAAGAAGGTTACGACCTGGGTGAGGATGGACTCACTTGCAGGTTTAAAGACTTGTGCGGCGTTGACACCTGTGAGCAACAGTGTGTAATGAGGGAGTCTGGGTATTTCTGCAAATGCTCAGACGGGTTTAAACTTGATGCAAACCAGCGTAACTGCTCTGACATTGACGAGTGCCAGTCAAAAGCCTGTGAGCATCATGTGTGTGTAAATACACACGGCAGTTACAAATGTACATGTAAAGGGGGCTACAAAATGGTTGACGGTAAATGCCATGATATAGATGAGTGCACACAAACAACGTGTGAGCACAGCTGCTCAAACAGTTTGGGATCCTTCTCTTGTTACTGCAATGAAGGCTTCACTTTAGCTGAGAATGGCCGCTCATGTGCAGACATTAATGAATGTGTCAGTAATCCCTGTCTATTCAAATGTGTCAATACTGTGGGCAGCTTCTTGTGCACCTGCCTGCAAGGCTTCCACATGGACACAGATGGATCGACCTGCATTCCAGATATGCCTGAAACATCAGTTGCCACATCAGATGACCAAGCTGAGGAGGAAACACAAGAAAACGTCACCGAGTCCTTAACCAGAACCTCAGTCGAGCTCCAACATCAGTCCCCTCACACTGACGCGCCTCGTCCAGACCTGGTGAATGTCACGCATGGTAATAATCAGAGCAACAGCTCCCTGGTGACAAGTTATGACAAGACAGTTAATTCCAGGGTGATCATCTGTGTCCTCGGTTCAGTCATTCCCCTGTTGCTTTTGATCGCAGTGACTCTGGCTATTGCAATTATCCGATGCAGTCGCTCCAAAAAAGAAGCCAAGAAAAATACCACCACTGACGGCTACTGCTGGGTGTCGTCTGGTTTGGATCCACGTTTAGAGAAACTATATGAGTCCATCTTGACTGATGACCTATGACCTGATGGTGAAGGAGAAGACTGTCTTCAAGGACTATCATGTTTATTTATGTAATTTATGTTCTGTGGTAGGCTGTGTTGTTATCAAATGATCACATATCAAATCACAAATCTTCAAAAAAGTTTTAAAAAAATTAAAAAATATGGCGAGTTTGGCAAGAACTAGCAAATGTAAATATGTATAGGTGTTGGTGCAAATGGCTGTTCTGAAGGGGATGTGAGGGGCTGTGTGTAATGAAGGTGAAAGGGTGTGTAGTGAACTGGACAGGGTGCCAGATAATCCCAGAAAGTTGTACCAGGATGTAATGTTGAAAGTTAGTAATTTAATGTTAAAAGCAATCAGCTAATTATGTAATTTCTCTTGTCGCAACTGGCTTAATTTTTCTGTTATTTTACCAACAGAAATGTTTGAGTCATGTATGTTGCTTCACTCAACCTGTGATCATCTTCTGGAACGTTGTTGTCTTTACTGCTTCTTTTAGATGACACCAAAAGATCACAGGTAAAACCACATGGCAGGATTCAGATTGTCCACTCAGACCTCTAATAACCATTTTTTTCATTTTATTTGTTAAAATGGAGTTTGCACAAATATGTAAATATGATTAAATGCAGGACCGTAGCCATGGAGTCAACATCTAGAGGGCCCATATCTGCTAGAGGGGCCTGCCCCCACCCCACAAAAAAACATTCAAAATTTGAAAACTCATCTCCTATTTTATCATTTATGGTAACAAGAACAGTTCATAACATACAATATGAATACGCAATAAATGAAAGCTGCGACTCCCCCATAGACATGCAGCACAACATGAAGGATTGACACTTTACTCACACTTTAAGTGGGCAACCTGACAATTAAGGAGGTCCCTATTTGCTCAGTTAAGAACTGGTACCTTATAACTGTCAGCGTTTATGTGTTTTTGCAACCCGGTCTCACTCCAAAGGCGTTGAAATCTGGTGCTTGGGCAGTGACTTGTGTCATCAGACACCAAACAAGAGGCCATCCTTACACACCAGCATGGTATGCGGCCAGTCGCCATTATAGTTCAACGGTGCTCGGTGGTGTTGGGGAAATGTGGTGGGACAAGAACAAAAGTTAAGATGGCAAAAGTCCGAGTAGGATGGATTGGAGGGGTGGAGGATGGGTCCAACAAACATTGACTTTCACCCTGGAGAGCAGTGTTTGTGTCCTGTAACTTTATAAAGCCAAACCCTGTTCTTTTTTCCTAAATCCAACCATATGTTTTTGTTGAAGGAAAAAAACATCAATTTGTGACGTAGTGCGTTTATTTTGAAAAAGACTGTAGGTAAATGGTAAATATCCTGTAAAAATGGAAGCGTATTTTGAAGGAAGACTATGCATGTGACAGACAGCAACAGTCAACAACCAACACACCCAGGGTACCTTGCATATCATATTCTGACATGGAAACCCCACGACCAAACGTCGATATGTAACGAAGTCAGACTGAGAATGTGTTGGTTTTTTGTGATCTTGGTGTTGAGGACAATTTTCAGTTTGTGTTCTTCCTTTGTGACTTAAAGAATCACTTGTTTGAAAAATAAAATAGAGTTGAGGAGCCCTGATTTGTTTTGGTCTCCTGAAGGTTGTATGTTAAGTTGGCTTATTAAAAGGGAAGTGTGCAAATTTTAAAAATTCCTTCATGTTATTCCTACAGTCTAAGACAGTCCAAAAATATAGGGAAAAATGAACAACTCTCTCAGAAATCCAAAAACTAGAGTGGTAAAACTCAGATTTGTGATGTCATAGGAAGTCTGGAGCTGCTCCACAGACAGTGAATGGTGAAAGATGGTCTAGATGACACTGAGAGCACTCAGGGGAATATTTTGAGTATATGGGTGCATTTTCTGTTTCACAGCTGAGAACACTACAATAGAATAAAGCTTGTTTGTGTATAAAAAAAAAGAAAAATACATTCTGTGGGTCCACAAAATCAGGCTCCCATTCACTGTGTATGGAGCAGCTCCAGACTTTATCCCCTATGACATCACAACTGTGAGACTTCCTACTCTCGTTTCTGGCTTTGAGAGAGAAAAGATCATGTTCACATAGATTAATTGAACTTTCACAGGCCACAGGAATAACATATTGGAATCCTTAATTTAGGTGGCCTTCCCGTTTAATGAGGTGATTTTTGTCTCAGCAAGAGTCATAGCAAATTCATGGAAACCATTGCGACTTTTGTTTGACAGTAAATGACATGACATGTTTGGTATGTTTTCTTACTGAATTTGTGGAGCTGTATGTTAGACTGCTTGTGATGCTAATCTGGTTGTTGCCTAGTGGACCATATTGTGCATGACACCAAAATCAGTCACTGGACAAATCTCCTGCAGACCAGCAGTGCATGGCAACAAGGGCGTAGGGTTTGTTTCAGTATTGGTGGGGTGGCACATTTGAAATGGGGGATGAACATTTTGGGCATCAAACACTTGATTTTCTGCATTCTGATGCATTCTAATGCAACACTTTACCTTTTCTGCATTGATTTTTGTTGTAAATGTCTTTACATTACCAATGCATGGTAATACTAGGACCGGCTGTAATAATAATGGACATTTGTTGAGTTTATTTATGATTATGATTAAATCTGCTTTTTTTTTTGAGCATGTTGAATATTGGTGTTCCACGCAATATGTAAGTACTGTTTTGATGTAATGATAAACACATGTACATCAGAGTATGGAATCAATATACTGTATATTATGTGATGATTAAGTTGTGCTTTGAGTCAAAAACGAAATAAATATATTGTTCTGACATATGAATACATTTTTTTTCCTGTTTTACATTATAGAGATCCCTTTCCTCACCAAACTTGGAAAAACACAGTAATCCAACTTTATCTCATTTCCTTCCTGTCTTTAACCCTGTCATTGTCCTGTGGGGTGTTGCATCCGGAGTAGGTAGCCCCTGGCTCTAAACCCTTCATAAATGTAGCCAGCCAGCATTGTAAGATGATCTACTGCACAACATCATGGCCTGCTTGCAACTGACAGCCTCTGTGTTGATGAAGATAATGACAGTGACTGTTTCCATGTGTGTGATTTTTGTCTTGTCTATTCAGACAGGATTTGCTGCGACGCAGACTGGTTACTGTAGGCCTTTCTGTACTGGGAGTGACTGCATAACTGTAAACCAAGACAGAGTGGATTTTCAAACAGCTGAGGAGGCTTGCCGTCACAGGGACGGAGAACTAATGACATTTCAGTCCAAGACAGATTTGACCACCCTTAACATTTTGAGTCAAGAATTGCATGGAGACTTCTGGATTGGACTGCGTTTACCAGCTGCCGCCTGCAGCAACCTTTCAGCTCCACTGAGAGGCTATGAGTGGACCTCTGGTGGTGTGCAAAGGAGCTTTACCCCAGCCTCCAGCACCTGGAAAGACAGCGTTACCATCTGCTCTCCAGGCTGTGTGTCACTTTCAAAGGATCAAAAGTGGACAGAGAGGCCGTGCACAGACAAAGCTGAGGGCTTTCTGTGCAAAACAAAGCATAAAGATGCATGCCAGGCACAAGAATTATCAGGACCAAAGGTTATCCAGAGCTCTGAAGGCTGTTCACATGGTCCTTGTGAGCATACATGCAAAGATGTGAAAGGAGGTTATATATGCTCTTGTTACAAAGGATATATCCCCGACAGCAAGAACCCTGTGCGGTGCAAATTGCACTGTGATCAACAGAAATGTCCCGCAGTATGTGACAGACACACTGACAGCGCATGCTTCTGTCCTGATGGCTTTGTAATAAGCGGTGCATTTTGCGAGGACATTAATGAATGCACAAGTAACTCATGCCAGCATGAGTGTAAAAACACTTTTGGAAGTTTTGTGTGCTCCTGCAGAGAGGGATTTGTACTTAAAAATCAGGTCAAATGTGTCAAAGCGGGCAGTCAGAGTTTAGTTGTCACAACTCCTGCCGTCACAGGTTTTGTCAAACTGGCCACCAATAATCGCACACTGAAGGGTTCCTCTGCGCCTGCTGGGGGTTTTGTCTGGGTATGGATTTTGATTGTAGTGGCTGTGTTGGTGCTGATATGTGTGATAAGGTTCTATGCTGTTAAGCGTCAGAAGCACAGAGAACAAAACTCCACCCAGCAGTCTGCTGCTCCTGTGGACAATATTGAGTGTTAAATTCAATCCAAAATAGAATGATCACCAACTCCACTGTTTGCTTTAGCATTCAGAGATTGGGAGAGTCCATCACTTTTATCAGACGGCTGCAGAAGGTAACTTCCCAGATGAAACTCTTTTGAGTTTTAATGTTATTATTACTGTTATGAGTACATTTGAAATGAAGGGAGTAGGAGTTCTTGCAGATGTGGATGGAGGAGGCCGATCAGTTTCTTAGATTCATAATTAAAAGCAGCACCTTATTAAAATATCATTAAAAATCTTTTCAGATTTTACTTGTATATAAATACAAACAGTATTATGCAGTGTTAGCATATAGGACATATTTTCAGGTTGCAGGTGGAGCTGAGACGTCGTTTTTATAAACTGCTTGGTAGTTGGGAAATGCTCTCATTTTATGAGCTTAGGATACACTCTAGAAAATAAATCATGGGGTTTGTGGGTAACACCTAAACAAGTTATTCAGCAGAAAAAATAGTTACAGTAAAGTGTTTAAATCAGTTGACAACTTTACAAAAAAAAAAAAAAAGTTAGTCAAAATCAAAAACATTTTTTAAATTTTCGAGGAAATAAAATAAGTTAGAGTATCATAAATAAAATAGTTTGACACTAAACTTCATCACAACTTTTGGATAAATATTGAGTTTGTTCAACTTGATTATGCTTTTCGAGGTCAAAGAAAATCATGTTGGTTGTACTAAACTAATTGGGTTTGTCAGATTATAGAAGACTCAAAGGATTTAGGATAGGAACCAGTGGATTCTTTTTTCATAGTGTGTATGCTAACTATGCTGTGTAAAATGCTAACATGCAAAGCAGTCATTAAGGAAGACTTCATCCATAAAATGACCATGTTACATGAGTTAGTCATGCCATGTTACCTTGAATTCCTAAATAAAAATTTGTTTTTCTCACATGTTGATTTACTGACATGGATTTTTGCTAAAACCTCACTAAAAATACATGTGTTTGGAAAGTATTGAGCTTACGACTGGATAAATGAGACTTGGATTATACTTCGTAAGTTGTGTGAGAGTTTGTAAACAGATGTTTTGATATAGTTTTTCTGTTGTTAAAGGCGAACCCCAGTCCATCAATAAATCAGTATCTTCACAGTTTTCCATGGAGGCATGCAAAGAAACCAAAGTGTTCTTAACAAATTCATAGTCACATGGCAAGACTGATTTACAAATGGTTGTTTTGGGGGTAAAATATTTCCATACGTAAAACCGTCAGACAAACAGTCGGCAGGAATCAAGCAAAAAGTAAAATGGAGTTAAGCAGAGAAAAGTCTCAGGGAAAATGCAACGCCTTAAAATGTAAATGTAAATGTACTGTGTCCTTTTCAACACTGACTTTCTCTTCTCTTCATAGAGTAAACATTGATATGTGTGCATGCGCATTCAACTGTGAAATGTAAGTTTTGATGATTGATATGATCTTTAATAAGGGTGAAAAGAGAGTGGTTTTATGTGTCTTTTTGTGATCTTGTAAGTCATGAAATTAAAATCTGAATTCATTCTTTCATAATAAGAGTTCACTGCTTGTTCTCTTAGCGCCATCTGCTGTTCCTCTGAACAAACTGATGAAAAGAGGGGAAACAGTTACGTAACATTCAAACACGTGGCTCCCTGATTTCCTAACAAACCCTTTCATGTTGAAATCAGGTGAAGCTCTAAAGCACATATGACATGTTAGATCTGCATGCTTCTTTTAAGTCAGTCATATTAACATCTGTGCTGTTTTTTAACTAGATTTAAAAAAAAAAGATTAAGAACAATATATTGTCAACCTCTATGCTAAACTTCAGCAAAACCATGGCCTCTAAATGTGGAGAAAATTTTGTGGACAGATCAACTGACTGACAGAGTGAGCTACAGAGCTGCTAGTCGCAGCTAAGAATAGGGTTTCAGGGCGCAGTTTTTGTTCACGCCGGTGCACTGTTATGACTCAATGTGACGTGTTTATGTCATTAAATACACCTGTGCTTTTTTTCCCTGCTATGACAAGTCATATTGTCCTCTGTAAGAAATATGGCCTATTGCATCATTTCTATTGCATCATTTCTGTGTTAAATGTTGTCATCTGGTTTCAATTCAGCGTTTACATTTCATCAGCCTTGTGTCCAAATTTCAAATTAAAAGTCAGTCAGTGGTTTTCTGTACAGTTTCACCATGACATCTGACTTAAACGAAACCAGTGACTCAGACAGCCTTATATGCTCGGGCAGGTCATTCCAGGGCCTCGGGGCCCTGGCTGCAAAAGCTCTGTCCCCTTGAGTCTTCAGCCTGGACTCTAGGACAAGCAGAAGACCTCTGCCCGAGGATCTCAAACTACGCAGAGGTTCATAGGGTACTAACAGGTCTGAAATGCAATGTGGAGCCAGGCCATGAAGAACTGAAAGTAATTAATAAGATTTTAAAGTCAATAGTAAAACAAACAGGGAGCCAGTGTAAACAGGCTAAAACTGGTGTGGCTGAGTTCTGAACAATCTGAAGACGTTGAAAATGTGCCATGAGTTCAACAGTTATGATGGATTCTCTTTGATAGTCTGATAAATTAAGTTCATTATCCAACAGAGTAAAGGAAGTTCATTATGCCAAAGAAAGGCACTCTTGCACTTCAGCCAAAAAAAAAAAAACCCTGGATCGGTGCTCACAGCACAGGGCAAAATAGTAGACACTAAATCAAGTGGGTCACTTCAAAAAATGACTGAACCCAAATGAAAGGAGGCTGGAGCACTCGATAAAATTGCAGAGCTTTTAATAAGGTGCAGACAAACTGATGTTTCAACGCTACTGTGTCTTCTTCAGAGTCAAACAGGTATTGATAGAACAATGGCAGTTAAATACACACATCCTGAAACCAAACGGTCTCTCATTGGAAAATGAGGATGATTGGAAATTAACCAATCCTGTTGAGGCACTCATCAGACAGAGGGTGTAAAGAATCAGCAATCCAAAAGAGAAACCACACCCACAAAGAATAATGAAAAAAATAATAAAATAAAATAAAAATAAAAATACCAACAACCTAAAGATATACCCCGATGTTGTACAGAAAACATGAAAAATTCAATTCTTCATTCAGTCCATGCGGTTCAACAGTGTTCAACGTATAAATCCAATAAGCTTCTCTTCTGAGGAGTTTGTTGAAAATATCTGCACCCCTCTGTGGGGGGGAGACTTCTTCGATGCCGTAGAAGCGGAGAGAAGCACAAGAACCGTGATTAGCTTTAACATAATGGCATGCTATCGCCTAATCCATGTTATGTTTGCTAATAGCAGCCTATGTTCAGCTATCCTGGCTTTAAGAGGGCGTTTGGTCTGTCCCACATAAACCTTACTGCATGGACATTTCAGAATGTAAATAACATGGGTAGTGCTGCAGTTGATAAATGAATTAATTGTGTACTTTTTTGCAGACGAGCGCTTGGATTTATCCAGAAGGTTGGACCAGTCAGTGTGCGCCGCCCTGGAGTTCATTATGCTTTTATGTTTTATACAGATTGTGTAGAATCTTACTTTTTCTCAATCAGTTTCAGATTCAGTTTTACTGTGTTTCGTAAGTGCTATATCGTAGGCAACTGGCTTGCGTTTCTTGAAGACATTTCGCCTCTCATCCAAGACGCTTCTTCAGTTCTAAATGACTGGTACGAAGGTGCAGCTTAAAACAGCTCACATGGTGGCCAGGTGGGTCAACGACTCACATTGTGACCTTAACGACTGTGAAACTAAGAGCTCACATGTGACCCTAACGACTCTGCAAGGGTTCCCACCCACACAGGGTTTATAGCCTGCAACTTCGTACCAGTCATTTAGAACCGAAGAAGCTTCTTGGATGAGAGGCTAAATGTCTTCAAGAAAGGCGAGCAAGTCCAGTTGCCTACAATATAGCACCTATGATTACCATGACCTAGATGACTGAGAATCTTCACCGACAAGTTTTACTGAGAGTAACATGTTGAAAGTGACTTATGTTCAGGCTTTTGCCTTTTGCATTATCTGCCTTAAAACATCTTAACTACCGACTGAATAAACAGTACCCACTTCCTGTTTTGTACACGAAAGCATTTCACCAGTTGTATACAAATACAGTGTTGATGCTTTTGGACAGATTACAGTACTGATCCATATGGCCAGGTGGACTGTAACTTCTTTATGTTACTGATTTGACACACTGCTCTCATTAGTTTTACATTCTGGGATTTCTTCGTCTATTTTACGGAGGGAGGACTAAAAATGAAGAACCAGAGAAGGACAGTTAACAAAGCATGAGTGCTCGGCACCTTGTGCTTTTTGTCTTTTTTTGCCTTCTGTTTGTCCGTTTTTGTTTCTTTCTTTCTTCCTGTGTGTTGTCCATGATGAGCTGCTCATAGTGCAGTTTTGCAGAGCTGTGCAAATAGTATGGTATTTACTAACAATTTAAATGTTTGAGATCCCTCGTTCTCTTCATCTGTCATACAGTATCACAGCAGGATATATTGTTGCAGTTCCCTACAGTTGCCACCAGATGTTACTATTGAGACATATTCTACTGATTGCTCCTGACAAACCACTAAGTACTAATGACAGCCTATTTAAAATAACTGACAGCAGCAAGGCCACTCCCTGAAGTTCCACAAACAAAGAGTAGTTCAGTCCTCAAGTAAGTCAACTGTGAGTGACCTACAAAATCCCATTAGTAAACCCCTAGTTATCTATCCAGGGGGAGACTTTGACCATCATTGAGTGCTGCCTTTATCTCACAGGGGTCTATATATGTGTTTTTCTCTTTTCTCCCAGAAAAGAAACACACGATAAGACTGTTTGTAAACAGGAATCTCAGTGTGTAGTCAGTGAGGAGGCTCCAACGACTTTGATCAGACACACAGGTGTGACACTGCCAAGGAACAAACACCACAGAAAACATGAATGTGTATATGAGTGGTGACAGAATTATCTTTAATAAACATTGTGATAATATTACAAATTAAAACAATGATAACGGATTTATAAAGCCATAGTCCAAATCAATTTAACTAGCCCAACTGCAGCAGGAAGAATTAGGTTGGTTGTGCTGGCTCTGTACTATGGAAGCAAAAGAGACATACTTGTTTAAATTTTAAGACCACTGAATTAATAGGATTGAAGTGTTTTACTTAAAAAAAAAACAAAAAAAAAAAAACATGTATCTAAATTAACTTGGTCGGAATTCACAACCTTGACATATCAATATCTTGTTTTCTTTTTCAACCCGACTTTTGTAGGTCTAAATATAACCAATCAATTTTAACTGATTTTCTATTTTATTTTATTTTATTTTTTTTTTGCACTGGATTTAAATCAAATTTTAGCATTCTGAATCAACTTTTAATTTATTTTATTTGGGACCTTAAATTTTTGGATCTGAATTTCACCAATAGAATTTAACAGATTTTCTATTTCAATGTCTTTCAATTTGAACTTTTACATGAATCCATTATTTTATGTTATTTTATTTTATTCTGAAACTTACATTTTTGGATCTGAATTTGTGAACAATGAAAAAATGGATATTTTAATTCAGATTATAAAATTGCAAATCAAGAAATGTAAAAAATGATTTCAAAAAACAGGTTCAGGTTGATCAAATTTAATTCAAATTCAGGTTTAAAAATAGCATATTTACATTGAAACTCAATTTGATTGGTCAAATTAAGATCTAAAAAAATCAAGGTAAAATATTTAAAGAAATTGAAGAAATTTCATATATCCATTGAATTCAGAACAAATAAATTCAAATACATTGTTTTCTAAGTAAAATATTTCACTGCTATGAATTCAGTGGTGTCTACATTTCAATAGTAAGTATTCATTGGCTGTTTAGATTCAGATACTTGTGTCTCTTATTTGCTTCCACAGGGTCAGAAGGTCAAAAAAGTATCAGTGTAGGGTCAGATAAACAGTGCGGGAATTGCAGCTGTTTATTCTACAAATTTTCATAGACTAAAATATATTCAACAATAAACTTATAAAATAAAATGTTAACATGTCTGAGCAAATAAAACCCTCCTCAGTGGTTCAGATGAGTGTATTAAAGTGGCCAAAATCATGCAAAAACAAAATACCAAGTTCCAAAATGGCCGTGTCATCTGTCTTGCAATATTATTTCATATGTATTACTCATTTGGAGTTTTTAAATGAACATCTTGCTAGAACATTTTGTTTGTTTGCCCAGCCCTAAAACACACAGTTTGTGTCAGTTGCCTAATTATACACATTATATGGTTACATAAGCCACACAAAGAACATGTGAACACATGCATGCAGTTATAAGTCAGGGTTCCCAGTTAAACCCATAAGACATGGCCCTCAGTGGATAAATTATTGACACCACAACTATTACTAGTGGAAGTGGACTTGTAGACCACCATGTGACCTCATTCTGCCATGGTTTGTGTCCCCTGGAAAATAAGTGAGTATGTGACTAACAGAGAACATATTGTAAAGTAGGAGTGTGGTGTTGATAAGACTGGGTGGTACAAACCTAACCTGGATGGCACCGGCTGT